ATTCGTAAAACTAAAGCATTTGGATATTTCTTTCAAGGCATTTGTTTTATAGATGTCATTCACAGCTGTGGGTATGTAATGTTTCTAATTGAAAAAAATTAATTTGGAATTTAAGCCTTAAAATTATTCTATTACCATTAAGCAAGTGGCCTAGTTTAATGTGGATTTGCCGTGATTATGAATTGAAAACCCAGACTTTGGTTCAAGACTTCCAAGGTGTGGATCAGGAGGGGAGAGGAATGAATGGAATAACTGAATTACCATTATATCCTTGTGTAAAAGTTTTTCTTTTATTTTTTACCTTTTTTGCATGTAAATCAATTTTACATTAAGCTCAGTTGTTCAAATTGCATCATTTTTAAGAAATCACTCTAAAAATAGTTCATATGTGTATTAAAAAATTGATATAAATTTTTATTAAAATGTATGTACAGACAATTAAATATCCATTTGTCATTATTTTTTTCCTTTTATTTAACGTTTGTCTCTCCTTTTATCATTCCAGTAGCTTGAGAATAATAATAATGTTTCTTTCCTTTTAATATATGTAAATTAGATGAACAGAATCAAATAATGAAACCTAAATAAAAATCCATATGCCAGAGCAAAAATAAAATCAAACACTAACCTGAGGCTGAAGTGATTGTTCGTGCAATAAAGACGATGAGCAATATGTGCAATTAAAACACATTGTCACAACTAAATTTTAATGTAGTAGTTATCCCATTAAAAAATATAAAATATAAAATATTTTTTAAAAATTATAAAATATAAAATATTTTTAATGTTTTGAGACATTAATAAACTTTTACCAAAAATGCTTCTAATCAATAAGTCGCTTTACATTTAAGAATAAATATAAAAAAAATAATATTAATTAAAAGAAAACTAACTACTTCATTGAGAGTGTAATTCAATTAAAAATATTCTATACTTTTTAACAAAAAGAATATCTTTTTTTCTAAAAAATGAAATAAAATTACCATCTAAACAAAAATCATATAGCAAGTCATATTTAGTACATTCAACAAAACTCATCATTCAATGCTTAGGAGCCGCATTTTGGGCGAGTAACAAACCATATAACTAATGTCATCATGAATTATTGAAGGACCATCTAATTAGAACCAGAGAACATCATCATTATTACTTGCTTTCGTGCTGAAATTGGACATTGAATTGCTGCCCTTAACCTATCAACATCACACATAAGAAAGCAATATATGTCAGGTATTCTTTTAGCATCACACCCACATTCTTCAAGCATTTTCCAAAGCTCTTCACTTGACAATTGTGGCACAGGCTTGCAAATTTTTGCTAGTATCATATTTCCTTGTTCAATTGCCTGAGTCACAGCACGTATTGCCCCTATTAGCTCCTTAATATTATTATCCTTCTCTTTAGCCACCTTCTTTATCCTCTTGATGCAAGCACCATTAATAGTGGTGGATGAGTGCTCTTGTTTAGGAATTTTAACTTTGTTTTGTGAGATGAGGTTATCAATATCATTGACAGTTTTAGGGACCTCTTCTATAGAACGACGTCTCTTTCTCCACTCACGTGTTGTCTCCGCCTCATTTCCATAGGCTCTATCTATTCCATATAATATCATCTTCTCATAGTTTGGGAAAGGAATAGTTCTCTGCAGTGCTATTTTAGATTTACCCTGAAAAAAAAGTGAGAATTCATGTGGATATCACTCAAGTAGACCAGATTCTAATGATATTTTAAACAGATAGACAACTACTTATTCGACTCATTATTTCTCCATGCATCTTCTTTCTCTTGTTACTCAAATTGTAACTTCTTTTTAGGATAAATCTCACTTTCATATACTTGTGCAATAACACACCTAAGTAGAGCTATTGCTTTCGACACAATTTAAGCCATTATTGCACCACTGAAAGATATTCAGTTTCCAAATCCATCTAATAAAGCAAGTGAAAAAGCATAAAACAGATCAATAAATGAGCAACAATAATCACAAATACAAGCATAAACACAATAACACAAAAACAATTTGCACACACATATATATATACAAAATAAAATAATATAAAACAATCTTCATATATATAAAAGCCATAATTATTAGATTCATTGCCCCGTCTAGTCACAATACAGAATAAAATAAATCCAATGTGAAAAATGAACATTAGGACATGAAAACATAGAGAGACAATAGTTGTGAAATCATATTCGATTAAGTTGGAAGACTTGCAGCATCCAACATTTGCTACAGTCTTTTGTTTTGCTTCTTTTTTATTATTTTATACGCGTCTTGTGCCCAACTGCACATACGCACATTTGAATTCTCTATCCAATGTTGTTTCATGTGCATTAAACTTGATCTTTTCTTTTTTCGATTCAGCAAAAGAAAAAAAACGCGGAACAGACAACTGCACATAGTATAAACCTAAAGCAAATGCTCCCAGAAGATGCAGGACCAGCATAAGAATCAGCAAATATTCAGTAAATCAGATATATATTGCATTGAATCTTCTGTAAATCAGCACCATCAGCGAAATCAAAGCCATGACTAGAAATCAGAACCATAGACACCATTCAACTTGAGAAATAAAGGAGCCAAGATCGACGGAAAACCGAGTAAGAAAAGAAATGGATTTGTGAAGAATGACGATTGCGAGAACAGCAGAGGGAAACTGACCGGAAAATGCCTGACGGAAACACAGCGGCGGAATGAGGACGCTCAGACGACGCACGGTGAGAGAGGCAAAGCGAGAGCAAGAGGCTGGACCATGCAGAGTGAAGCGATCGAGGGTTTCATTGTGGAGCGTAGCAAAATTAAATAGGGTGAACTAGGAAAAAAAAAAAATTGGCTCAAAAAGTTAAAAAAAAAGTGATGATAAGGCATTGTTAAAAAAACTAAAAAATACACGGGATTAAATAGGGTTTTATTTATTTTATAGAAATTTTATTAAAAAAAACTAAAAACTGCCCTCTACAATACACGGGATTAAATAAAAAAAATAACAAAAAGTTATAAAGAAACAATTGAATTGAAAAAAAAAAAAAAAGCAATTGTGGATATGGCATTGTTATATTCACTGTTCCATGAACAGTAACTTTTACTATAGATTAGAGGATAAGATTATTTTATATTTGGTTATAATAATAAAAGATTTTTTAATACATAAAGTGCGTTATTTTGGAAAGGGTAACCTTTAGATAACACTCAAATTTTATAAGAAAATATTTATTTTATAAAAATTTTATAAAAAAAAACTAAAAACTGCCCTGTACAACGCATGAAATTAAATTAAAAAAATATTATAAAAAGTTATAAAGAAACAATTGAATTAAAAAAAACAATTGGGGATATGGCATTGTTATATTCACTGTTCCATGACCAGTAAATTTTACTATAGATAAGAGGATAAGATTATTTTATATTTAGTTATGATAATAAAAGATTATTTAATGCATAAGGTGCATTATTTTGGAAAGAGTAACCTTTAAATAACACTCAAATTTTTTAAAAAATTAATAACAATGAATATAACAATGCCATATCCACAATTGCTTTTTTTTTTTCAATTCAATTGTTTCTTTATAACTTTTTGTTATTTTTTTTATTTAATCCCGTGTATTGTAGAGGGCAGTTTTTAGTTTTTTTAATAAAATTTCTATAAAATAAATAAAACCCTATTTAATCCCTCGCACGTTGGAGGGAAAAAAGTTTTTTTTTTTTTTTAAAGTAAAGAAATAAAAAGAAATGGCAGTTCACAAATCCCACAAGGCTCAAACAAAACACACCCAAGTGATGATAAGTTTTGAGAAAGAGGCGGGCTGGTACTGATCCAATTATTTGCGATGACGGCCTCATTAAGAATAAAAAATGATAGTTTAGTTATTAATTTCATTAGAAATTATAATAAATTGTTAATTTTATCTTTATTTAAATAAAAGGTTTACAAATTTATATTATATTATGTTTCATAGTTGAAAATTTTAATATGAATAATATTAAAAAATGTAATAAATTCCTCATCAAATGTCTTGCATTATTTAGAACTGAAAAAATATTTTTAAAAAATACCTTATAATAGGACGGAGAGAGTAGATTGAAGTTTATTCTCCTTTTCATTTTGGCCATTATAACTTGTCAAATTTAAATCACAAAACCAAAGGAAAATTTTAGTGAAGATCTCTTGATCCAACTTAATTTCAGTCAAACCTTCTCAAATTTTGAAATTTCAATGTACATGTGAAAGAATAAAATGAAATTAAAGAGTTAATTGAAATGACTTTATTGTTATTAATGAAATGAATACTTGATATATGAAAAATAAAAAATTGACATATGAAAAATAAATAATTGATGTAGGTGAAATTTACAACTCTAATTAACAATGTAACACTAATAAATATAAATAAGTAAATCTAAAAGCATGAACAGCTTATATAAAAAAAAATGAACAATTGATATCAGTAAAATAAAAGCATAAATTCATAATATTGTTGTGTTTTTAATGACAATTACAAATTTTATTTATATCAATTATTTATTTTTAATGTATCAATTGTTCACTTTTTCCACACACGTCATTTATACACCTAATTTCATTAAAAATAATAAAATTATTTCGTGTCCATACATTAGTTGTTCATTTTTTTCACACAAATTATTCACACATCTAATTTCACCAAGAATAATAAAATCATTTCAGCTGATTCTTTAATTTATTTCAATCTCTCATATGGACAATAAAATTTTAAAATTTCAAAAGCTTTGACTAAAATTAAATAGATCAAGAAATCCTCACCTAAATTTTAACCAATCGATCAAAAGTTCATGTTGTTGACGGGAACGACAGTTGTCTTTTTTTGGTTTTTTGGGTTAAAAAATTGGAGTATGGCTGACAAATGATTTTGGATCAGATAAAAAGTTTTCTCAGCACTTTAGTTAAATAGGAGTCGCTTGAGCTCTACTCTGATTATTGATAGATTATTGCTATCAATTTAATATTTTGCAAATGTTGTCATTTTAATATGTCATAAACGATTACATTCAAACATGCAAGGATAACAATAGTACAATCATTGCAGTCGTTTTCCTCTGAAAACATACCCAGAAACTATAGTACAGACTTTAAAAGTGAATCTTGATTTAACAAGGTATCAATCAACAGAGCATCGTTTTTAGTTTGCAGAAAGAATCTTGCTAAGCATCGTATTAACACAATAATGGTTCACTTGTTTTCTGAAGTCACTTGACACGGTTTAAGTCGAATATATTACCAAACTGTGCTGGGAACGAGCCCCTGTATGCATCTGAGACAGCAACTGCTGTATCTGAAAGATCACTCTTCATCTCTGAAATTTTGGATCCCATATATTCTTTGAACTTCGAGACTGAATCAACCAGCATAAAAAGTTCCTGAGCGCACCTCTGCATTTCTTCTTCATTTTCTTTATTCGCTTCTTGCAACTTCAATTTCGAGGCCTTGACAGACAAGAGTGTTTATTAGATGCAATGAAAAAGTATCACATAAGTTGTTTGAACTTGAATTTGCCCTGTTGTAAGCTAAACAAAATTCTACAATGGCTTGATGGCACTTCAATGAATCTGATCGAACTACAGATCCATAATCTACACGCATTTGGATATATATATAAATATATATATTTGTGATTTAAATGCGGGTCAACCGGTAGACATTACAGTGGGTGCAACCTTTTATTTTTTGGCCCCCAAAGCTTGGCACAAACACAAGGTGGCTGAGAATTGAATTTAGAAACTGTTGCTGATAATTCATTTCATGTTCCTTGTCCTTAGGCAACCATATGGTCAAAATCTCCCGCTTAAGCCTTAAACAGCTTTTATGTTTTTTCTACCTATTTTCGTGCTCCTACACCATTTGCCAAAAAACTGAAAATGGCATGGAATATACTCAATCAGGATAAAAGCTAATTGCCCAGATACTCTCCCAAAAGTAAAACCACATGGACAACAAAATAGGCATAGCGCAGAAACAGCAAAAACAAAAACTAGAGCTAATCCAAAACTATTAACACTCAATCATATGTTCACTCCCTATGATTTAAAACTAAGAAAAGAAATTAGTTGAAAAACATTACAACATTAGAATTCCGTATTCAATTCAATAAGATTAATCCAAAACTTGTCCAAAAGAAGAGAATGTGGTATGAATAATAGATCATAAGAGAATTTAGCTAGAAAGTTACGAGGGTAGTTAGTTGGAGGCGAGTTGCGGGGCTAACCATCTTCTCTATATAGCAACATACCAAGAGGGGTGAAGAGAACAAAGTACGTTGATCAATGAAGATTATTTCCATCTAAATGGCATCGCTAACCACTTTCTATTTACATATACCGTTGTACCAAGGGGTGAGGAGAACAAGTACACTGTTGGTTGAGGGAGGTTCTTTTCAATAATATTTCTCCATTCACACTGTGGACTTTATTAATAGTGAGCATTGCTTGCCACTTTAAATTGACTGAAAGTTTAAAACACAACAGTGACAGAGACCCTGGTCTAGGAAGGCGATATGAATTCTTGACCTTTCACTTGATTTTAAAAATATAGACAGCAAACAAGGCATTACCTTAAGAACCTCAGCTGCCTCCCGTTCCACCATGTCCAGGTCAAGAGCCTCTCGATCAACATCCTCCAACATTTTCTTTGCTTCAGCCGCGCATCTAGATATGTATTCCTCTGTTTCTTTCTTTAACTTGTACAGTTGAGCTTCCATCTGATGGATACATCATCATGCAACAGCAGCAGCAGGTCAAACTACAGTCTTTGCACAGCAAGATTTTTTGTAGTACCATTCTAATACCAACGAAGAACACAAGAGCACAACAAAAATTTTGCCAAAAAAGGGAAGATCAGCATTGAGCATCAATTGAATTAGTTATCTAATACTATACAGTATTCCACTTTGAAAAGTTCGCGTTTTCTCCCAACCATTATAATGCTTGCTAAGAAGAATGAGTATAAATTGGCAGGCAACTTTACATCTCTACGTGCAGGTATTGACCTCTACTTGAGTTACGACTTAGACAACAAAGCCACCAACTTAGACCACAAAGCCACCTATATACAGAATGCAACAACCCTACCCTTCCACTAATCTCCAAAATGACCTTTACTGCCTGCCAGCACTACCAACCTAATTTAAATCTGGCATTTTTATATATATATTGTTTTTAAATGTTCTGAAATTCTAATAAAAGAACAGCAAACATAATATTTATCTCTCTACCTTACTCACTATACCTATTAGGGATGCCATCACATGCAAACCAATCTAATCTCAAGGACTTCACAGTTTTATGTTAAGTATCATCCATCCAGCTCAAATAGTCTATCTGTTATAGCAATCATGCCTATACTTCCATAAGTTGGAATCTTAACTTGCAATACTAGAATACTATATACATGGCCACATAAAAAAAAAAAAAAAAAAACTTGCACACTCTATAATACTACCTCAATTTCAAATTAGAAGATAAAATTGGAAGAGGTTCATTAATGATGCTTTTCCAATATTACCCTTCTAATTATATTCTCTCTCTTTAGTATTCTTCCACAAATAGAACATTAAATGAAGGACATTTGTAGAAATTTATATTTTTTGTTCTGAAAATGTAATGTTTTAAAGTTTATTTAGTGAGTTTTATTGGTGTGTGTGTTTTTGTCTAAAAGTGTATTATTATAAATTGGGATGAATGGAGTACAAAGAGTAGACATTAAGAAGAAATTAAATATTAA